ATATGGCTGGATTGAGGCCAGATTGTCCTCCTGCCCCCCTCCACACAGCCGGATCAGGCCCAGCTGCACCTGTCCAGTATACCAAAAGGGCCTACCAGCTGGGTCTGGCCTATGGACAGACCGAAAACTGTCCATCTGGCCCACAGGGAAAAAAAGTTGAGCACCACTGCTATAGACATATTTTAACAGGCACGAAACTACGTGGGCTGTCTAGAAATGTAACTGCGTTCTATATAACCGCAATTAAAAAGCTATAGGCTGGAAGGAGGAGGAAGGTCCTCTTTCTATAGAACTTAGCAACCTTCATGCTGTAATTTTCCCGTTCAACCCAAGAGCACGATTCACAAAGGCCGCGGGAAGGGCTCATTACAGGCTGCAGGCCCCATCCATCAGAGATGGCTCACAAGCGCCGACTGGGTTTGGTCCCAGGTTCCGCGAAGGGGCTGGGAGAGTAGAGACGTGAATTATTTTTTTTAATTCAGAGGCTCATTCACTCTCTGAAGAAAAACAAAACCAAAAAAGGAGTTTCTCTAAAAGGGGCAACTGTAAAATAGAGGCTGGCAGCACATTTGAGGCTCTCTGCACAATCACCGGGGGAGGGAATTCTCGGAATTTTATTTGTGAGTCTTCAAATGGGAAGCGCAGCGGAGCCCAGATGGCCGTCTCCCGGGTAGGGGGAAGCACGTCCTCCTCGCTCCTTCGGCTCCTGGGTGCACCTCGCCTTTATTTCACGTCGAACCCAAAACACGGCACCTCTCAAAACATCCTTCCCCTGTATCGGGTGTTTGGCCTTTTCTGGCTCCGGGGACTTACGGAGCCTACACGGACTATAAAGCTACGTGTAAGAAAATGATCAGAAAGTGACTGCCAGAAGGTTGTCCCTCCTCCAAGTGCCTGAGGCCTTGGGCAGGTCATCATATACCTCGGTGTAATTTATGCTGGTTTTTGTACGTAGTAACATCTTTCGATGCCGGCATATGGTTCTGTGACCAGCACTACCATAGCCCGCTTACCAAGGAATCGTTCAGTACAGCCAGGGAGGTAGTAATGTGCCACCTCATAACCTCGGATTTTGACATATAGTGCACAAACCCAACGTAACCCTGCTATAAATCAATGGGATGTCATAAAACTATTAACATTTCAAACAATTCAAAAATGCTTTCCCGCCATTAGGTACAAATTGAAGCCAGATGCTTCAGTCATGGAAAGAATAATTAAGCAAGATTTCCAGAAAGAATTAAAAAAAAAACCCCAACAACATGTTCTCCCTTCTAGGCCTCCATAAACAACTGCCAGGACAGGTCTGCATGCACTACCCCCATCTGATGATGTTAGAGACAACGTGAGAATGAATGTTACCCTAACTGAAGCCCACAATTTGCTATATTCAGGTCTGGATCTGTGCCCAAAACCTTTTGCTAGAGAGACGGACCAGTGGCAGACCTAGGGTCAATATTTCATGAGTGAACGGAGATAGAAACAAAGATTACATGTGAACAGCGATCTCAAGGTCTTGGTAGTATTCATTCCCAGCACTGGTTGGCCAGGAGATCATTGACCTTAAAACCTGGATCATCCCCATTCCCGCTGAGTATAAATGCCTGCCCCTCCACTCCCACCCCTCAGAGCATGTTTGTGTTAACAGGGCAGAGAGGGAGTAGCTGGTTTTCTGGAAGTCATTTGTACCCAACCTCTCTGCAATGGTCTCTTTTGAACTTCCCGCAGATGAGAGTCTGAGTCCAAACTGTGGTGCTACCAAGAGGAAGAAGAAGCAGAGGAGGAACCGCACCACATTCAACAGCAGCCAGCTCCAGGCTCTGGAGAGAGTCTTTGAGAGGACACATTACCCAGATGCGTTTGTGCGAGAGGAGCTAGCACGGAGGGTGAACCTCAGTGAGGCCCGAGTCCAGGTGAGCAGAGGTTGCAGGGGGTGGAGAAAGCAGGCCTCCACCTCCTGGCGCAGCCCAGCATTCAGGTCTCACCCTTCCCTGGGGCCACCTGGAGCCTGAGTCTCACTAAAGCCCTGGAGGGGAACAACTTCCACGGGCATGACTGCCCACTCTTACAAACTGTGCCATGGCAGGCAGATGCATTAGTCTCTGATGAAACAGCCTGCATCAGACTCATTCCCAGAGACACGGCAGAGTTGAAGTTGGCTAGGTATTAACCTGGTCCCATGCTCTGAGCAGTCAGACTGGTACATGCACTACTGCACTACTGCTATTTGGAAAGACTGGGCAGATCCCTCTTCTCACTCACACCTCCATGCCCACTCTCTGCCTTCAGTCGGGCTTGGGTTAACAGCGCTGCCTCTCTGCCCCCAGGTGTGGTTTCAGAACAGACGGGCCAAGTTCCGCCGCAACGAGAGGGCTATGTTAGCCAACCGGTCCGCCTCTCTCCTCAAGTCCTACAGCCAAGAAGCAGCCATTGAACAGCCCATGGCCCCCAGGCCAACTTCCTTGAGCCCAGACTATCTCTCCTGGACCACCACCTCCCCCTACAGGTAAGTCCAGACTGCCTTAGCACTGCCTCTCCGTTGGCTCCCAAAGCAACGTACTCCTAACCTGTTTAGAAAGGAGGTGGGGACCCAGTCAAGTGCCAACTCTAATGCCTTTCACCAACATGTAGGAAAGATTGTGGCATGGTCTTAGGCAGATTACTCATCTCTCAAGGGGTGAATTAAACATGCACAGGAAACAGAGAGGGAACAAAGCCCCCAGGCAGCTCCCAATAAAGACAAAGGGATTCTTTCCATGGAGAATAGTGGGCGTTTCAATGGCCCCTAAGAGACCAAGACAGAACGGAAAGCACTTCAGGATTGCCAAGAAGAGCTCCTGCAAATACAGCCGGCACCCAAGGTGGGGGTTCACGACATGGGATGACTACTGAGCTTTGAATATTTATATGCACACAAGAGCGGAAGCCGTAGTTAGAAAAGGAAATGTTCCAAATGTCGGAGCCATGTAGGACTCCCTTGAACCATGGCAGCCTGAGCAGAGATGGGAGCACCAAATGGGGAAAAAGGAAGTTCAGACAGCTTTGCAAGAGATTGTCTCTCCATTAGCCTAGAAACCCTCTATGCCAGGGGCAGCAGGGAAACTCAACCGGGTGAAATTCCTTTTAGGAGGCATTCCGGCAAAATCAGTGGAATTGCACCAAGATTGAGTTTAGCCTATTTTCAATAAGCCTGAACATGTGGATGTTGTGGATTTGAAAGGCAAGTTTGAATCTTACCATTTGATTGTTCTGATTGGGAGAGACTTCAAGGTGAGGAGGTTTATGGGAAGGAGAGGAGTGGGGAGAGGGGAAGAAATTCTGATGAATAAATAAATACCAGCCTCTGATGACTACAAGGATAGAGACATTCAAAGCACCTTGGGTTGTGACAAAGGTTGTTCTACCTTGAATGCATTGCTCTGGCTTTACTTTTGCTAAGGAAAGTTTATTTTATAAAAGGAAATTTATTTATTTTAAATCACCAGGCTTCTCGCTCTTGGGTTCTCTGTTAGGCTCAAGGATGATCTAAAAACCATCGGAAACATTTGCCATAACAAGTGTCCTTTCCTTTCCCGTATGTGCTTTGAGATGGTTGAGTGAAGGTCTTTGCAAAGCACCTCATCACCCCACATGGTATGAGTGCAGAATACTAGCATGGAGACGGTCATTTTCTTTAGAGCTGATTTGCTTTTGTGTCTGGCACCTATTTGACTCTTGTGCCATCAGCCGCTGCAGGACAAGTATCACTCTTCGACTGCCATTCAGTGCTTAACTGACGGTGGGTTTCCCTGAGCTGCAAGATTTGAACTTCCAGGCATGTCCTTGTTGGGTTCTTGTACTGACGTCCATCCTAAATTCTAGGGGTGAGGTCTTCTGCATGAACCTATCTCAGACTTACTCTCAAAGCTCCAGGGCAGGAAATTTAATCTCATTTAAAACTGATTTCCACAAGTTGATTGCTTTAATTTAGCAGCATAAAAATGCCAAGATGCTGCTACTGTTGTGGGAGCTGTTTATGATTAGGAAGAGCTAGTTGGTTCTGAGAAGCTGGCGGGAAGAAGCCAAGTGCCTGACAACTGAAAATTAAATTAATCAAAGAGTGGGATGCTGTTCCAGCTTTGCTCACACCACCACGGCTGAGGCTTTCCTGTAGCTCATCAGAATCTCATGACCGGTTTTGTTTAATTTGCTCCTCTCTTCTCCTGTTCCCACCCACTATCCTTGTAGCCCAGTGCCATCCTACAGCTCCAGTGCGCCGACCACACCTGTCCAGGGGGTGAACATGGCCAACAGCATTGCCAGCCTGCGCCTCAAAGCCAAAGAGTTCAGCCTGCATCAGAACCAGGTGCCCACTGTGAACTGACTGCACAGCCCCAAAAACTGGGACAAAAATGCCAACGTGCCTTCCCTAGCAGGGAGAGCTCCTTCCCAATCCTGCAATGCCAGTTTGGATGACCTGTGCCAATCTAGACCAGAACACTAGTGCCACTCAACCAAAACTGATTCCACTACCAGCATCTGCAGATGCCACTCCCATGCCCTCTTTTCTCTGTGCCTTTTGAAGGCAGAGCAAGTTGCAATCTGGCTTTGGTAAGTGGTGTGCAACTGTAGACACATATGGAGTAAATTTGCTTCCCCCCCATGATAAAGGATACACACACCCATACACCCTGACACTTCAAGAATATAAAGACTTGCCAAGTTTACATGAGTTTGCTTCCAAACAGGGAAGGATCTTGGACCACTGGATTTGACCGATTTGAGTATCTTGCCTGGACAGTCAAAGAGAAGTTGAGTATCTTCCTACTCCAGGGACATGGCATTTTGCAAAGGATCACTAAAATGCATAATGTCCATTATATAGTCCCTTTTTCTTCAGTGGTCACTAAGCCATGATTGTTCAGCAGTCGCATATGTAGCCAATTCACATTAGACACCAGCACGCCCAAGACTGATGTATCTTCTCACCTCTTTTTACATCACCAGACTGCAATGCTTGCAAGAGAGAGAAACTTTGGCAGATGGAACTGTGCACACCTGCTGTATATATTCATTATCTTGACCCTGCATTGTGCTTTGTACATTTAGGAATAGCCAGCGGCCCATGTCAACGCGAGATACATACCACCAGCCTTAACTAGTAACCAAAGGGAACGAGGATGGCTTGAGTATCCAGAAGGACTCACTCCATCAGCTACCTAAAAATCTCATTAGTTAGAGTCTTGCAGTTTTCTGAAAGTCAGCAGTTGCTCTGTACTGTTTGGTTAAGTCCGTGAACTCACAAAAAACCCTAAAGGGCTTCAGGTGCTTGAACTCTCCCAAGGAAAAAGAAAAGAAAATCTGTGAGCTTTAGCTGAATACCCAGTTGTCAAATCTCTATGCAAACAGTACTAAAGCCAGCCTCCTTCAGAGGCACAGCCTCCCTTACAGAACTGCATTCCCTGGATGCGGTCAGTGGCCCAAGCTTGTAAATTAAATTCCTTCAGCAGAAAGTGGCTGGGTTTCCCCTTTTCCCCACCTCTTTTTTTCACAAGGGGGCCTTTCAACCCAGTATCATCTCCCCAAACTGTTCAGTCCCTCCTCCCCTTGTCCCCGTTGTGAATTTAGACTTATCGTTAAGTCTATCAGTCTATTTAAGACCAAACATGGCAACTTCTGAGGCACCTTCGTGAGACTCTGCTCTATTGTAAGTGCAGGCATTTTGTCTTAGCTCATTCTGTAGAGTCCAAATGTCCAGGTACCTCACACTGAGGCATAAAACCCAACATTGGCAGTAGTTACAGATGAGAAAAAGTGCCAGGAGAACAGCACGTGCACAGGAAGAGAGATCACCCATAAAGATAATCTTATTTCTCCCTTGCCTCCCCCGCTCATTGCTTCTCTGTGAGCATCCTCTTATTTAATGAGTCTTTGGCTGGAGCCCAGTACACTAACTAACAACAGGAATAATCTCAGAACCAACTGTTTCTCCTCCACAAATACAGGTGCTTGAGCTAAATGAGAGTCCCCCATAACCTGTAGCATTGCTAGGGTTTGCATCTGGTTTAGCTACAGTAGGACCATGCTCTCATAAGCAGTCCTGAGCTTCCGTCCAGGGCAGGAGAGAGAAAAACTGTAGCTCCTCTGTAACACCTTGCTGTGAGGTCTGCAAAGGCTTAGATCTTCTGGTTGAACCAGCAGGGACATATTGGGTTGGAGGTTCCTTGTCAGACTGCCCCAACACAGGGAAGAGGTTTCCAAAATTAAGATGGCGACCCATCAGGAGGATTAGCTTTAATTGAACTAAAGGACCTGAATTTCCTGTTGTCATAGTGCTGTCAACAGCACCAACCCTACTCAAACGATGAGGCAGCTCTGGAGGTTCACCAAACAAATCGTAGGTCCATGGAGAGCCTTCCTTATGCTGCTGCCAAAACCACTCGAGGCTGCGCATCCCCTGTAATGACACTTTATTCAATTCCAGCAGTTGTTTACACACTTATTAAGCAGCCATTGTGTTAGGGGGATGCTGAATTACTCCCAGAATTAAAAGGTGAACATAAGTGACCTAGAAGTATGTATTCCTTCGGCTTTCAATGGGACTCGTGTACCAGCGACACTTGAGCAATTTTGAAATCCTCTTGCACTAGGTCCTTAACAAAGCTAAAGGGTGCCATAGGCATGAAAGGCCAGATTTCAAACAAGCCCTGCTCCTGCCTGGACATCAAAAATAACCAAGATTATTTCTATGGCTCCCCTTTTTGTTGAAATTGAGCTTTACAGAAGCTGTTATGCTTTGATCATTTTTGTTGCACTTGAGCTTTACAGAAGCTGTTATGCTTTGATCCTCACAATACACCTGCAAGACAGGGTTATTATCCCCAATTTGCAGATAGGAAAGGAGGCACAGGGCATTGAGAAGGTATCACTTCAATGGCCTAGCTAACACAATGCAGGGTATGTTCACACTGAAGCCCAAGCCCTGCACTATTCCCCTGGTCCCTGATATTTCTCTTTCGAAATGCAATTCCAGGTTTTCCAAAATCACCACAGTGAGCTCTGGACTCAGGCATTCATAGGATATGGCTAAAACACTGAATAGCAGGTAGGAAAAATTTGGTCTTGAGCTCTTAGAAATCTCTATCTCCATGAAACCAAGTAAGCTCCTTAGATTTCTCAGTGCAATGCCCTGTAGATAGGATTGTCTCATTCACATTCCCGTGACTGTTGCATACCTTGTTCTATGACTTAAGGATGCATCTTGGGCAATTATTACACCCCTGGTTGTTTCAGCCATGTCTCAAAGACCAAATAACTACAGCAGAAAGGGCACGGTTTCAAGGGGCAATTATTTAGCTAGCGGGAAAAAGATCTTTTCCAAGCACTTAGGAAATAGCTGTGATGCTTCGTGCTAACCTACGAGTGTATGCCAGCGAAACAGGGGTCAGGTCCATTGGCACAAGCCAAGAGTTCAGGAGTAGAAAAACTATTAAAGGGCAAACAGAGCAAGAATGATCCAAAGTATATGTGGATGCAGGGCCATTGCTTTGGGTGAAGCTCCCACTGCATTCGTTCCAGGTTAATGCTAGAAGCCACTGCAACAGCGCAGGACAAACAAGCCGGTGATTGAAATTCCACTTTACCCCCAAGGAAAAGAAGTTCTTAGCCAGGGAGCACCATATTCCCAGCACCAGAGCATTCACCAGCGAGTGAGCCAGCCCTTCACTGAATAACGGTAAAGGGAAGATCGTATTAAGACCTCACGGGCTAGCGAAGACATGGATTCATTGTAGATAAAAAGCCCACCATGAGAAACTTCGCTTGAGGGCTGGAGGAAGGGAAATTATGAAGCTTTCATTCCCATGGCAAGCACAGGGCTCTTTGTCAGTTATACAAGATAAAACCACAGGGATATAAATGTCACTCCCTCTTTGCGAACATTAATGAAAATAAACCCGGTTAATAGTTTGCAGATGCTGTTTCTGTAAACCTAAAAAAAGAAGGGAATAAATATTTCTTTGCAAAATAGATATATGTATATATATTAGAAAACATTTGCTCTTAATCTTACAGTCCCTTCACTTGCTGCGCAATCTTGGCAGCTTATCTAAGATTGTCAGTCGCTGTTAAAGCATTACGGAGACAAGATACAAATTGCCTCGGTGCAGCAATACCAGAAACTAGGGATCATCGTAATCTAAGCTTGCTCTCTCCCTTTCTATTTGTACATTTCAATTACTTGTAATAGGATCTATGGTGGATTTTTTTTATTTTTATTTTTTGCATGTCTGCGTTGGGGTTTTGGGGGTTTTTTTTTTTATGTTTTTGTAAAAACAACTCTTGTGAAATAATTGAGAAATAAATATTTTACTGAGTAGTTCAGTGTCTGGATACGCAAAGGTGGAGCCAGTTTTTCCAAGTGTTGGCTCTGCTGATGCTGGTGTGATGCCCACAGCTGAGCTGGGGGAAGGTGGGAGAAAGAACTTTAGCTTTCTTGGGCATGGACCAGTATTAGGAGGGGAAATCACAAATAGGAGCCTTTAGTAGCATGAGATAGCTGCTTCCATCCTCTCCTTGGCACTCATCTGTTCAAGCACCATCAAGGGTTAATTCAACCACTGTGCCATTGCCATTATTACAGAGTGCTCTACGAGCTCCTTCCCTTGGAGGCTACATAGGCAGTGCTGGGGAGGGGGATTTTACCATCTGCTTTGCAAAGCCTGGCTCAACACGGCAAGTCAAACACAGGAAGCAGATAGCCCAAGTCCTGTTCGAACCACCAGAAGAGTTGACAATTGACCCTGCCTTCTCTTAGGAAGTCGACCCCTCCCTCAAGTACGTGGCTGATTCCACGCTAATGGTTCCCTTTAGGTCAGGTACCAAGATAACTCTAGTGATGGGAAGCTGAGCCTGGTTTCCAGTCTCTAGCCCTTAATACTGATGGTTTGAAGCCATGCACTCCAGCACAGACCTGGAGCAGCTTGGTAGGCCAGGCCTCGTGGCACTGAAGCAATGCGCAGGACCCTCCTCGGGCACACTGCAAGCCTTGTTCAGGAGGAATGAAAGCACACGGTGGAGACAGAGCTGCCCAAGGTCTCCCCTGACCCACCATGGTCTTGGCTACAGTTGAGTGGGAGCGTGGGGAACTGCAACCTTCCTGCCAATGCATTTACTGGAATTCCTCAAGCTAAGAGGCTTTCAAGCCTCTGCATAGTTTTTGTCCAGAGGGAATAGAAACTTGCACCCAGAGACGCAGAAAGCTGCTTTTATGAAGGCTCCTGCACTGCAGTTACTTTCTGGGCCCTGCCAAAGCCTGATTATTTCATTACGTCTCACAGCGCAGTAAGTGCTGGTTGGGTTTTTTTTCCTAATAAAAATACCCCAAGCGTCTGATGGGACTGAGTATTGTCAGAGCCAATAGTATTTGCTCTAGGCAGGCAAAGCCCCATGCCTTAATTCTATGTGAAGGGGAAAAGACCCATGATTGCCCCCCGGTATGATTACTACTCCTCTCCCATTACAAGGACAACAACGCCTTGCCACAGCCCTCGCCCTGCCTCAGCGGCTCCTGCCTAGGAGGTTGCCCCAGTGTTATGTTAACATGGTCCTTACACCCTAGGAGCACCTGGCAGCAAGGAGCCCAGGAGAGCACAGAGCTGACGCTCACTATCAAGTCACCTTCCTTTCCTGTTTGCCGAGCACTGCCCATGAGCAGAGAAGGACTGGAGCGGTCGCACGGAGGCCTGCATTCTGGATACCACGGAGCTGGGGGCAGTTTGGGTGCAAGGGGTTTGGGCCAAGGAGGAAACCAGTTTAAAATCTTCTACCTCACTCCTGACCGTAAAACACTTCCACTGCACGAAGAGCTTGGGGGAGGCAGGTTTAGTAACAGACTATGAATAAAGTCCTTTTCTGCCAAATCACCAGTTCAATTTTAGCCTGGCGCAGCTGTAACCAGGGATGAAACCTGTTAACAAATGATTGGTGCTTGGGCCCAGCAGATGCATGTTCTTGTTACAGTCCTCCCCTCCTCTCCTTCCCCCATTGCCTCTCACTGGCAATCACAGCACAGAGGCCCCCGCAGATTCACTGGGTAATGACAGCTCCTGCTTAAAACATCAGGTAGGTTAGTGGGACAGCACCTGGGGCTGTGCTTTCCTGCTTGGAGGAGAAACATTCACTCTAGAAATGAAGTTGGGCGCTCTCTGGTGTCACGTGGGTGCACAAACGCAGTGCTGGGCTCACAGAAGCCGCCTGCCTTTCAAATGCATCCAGGTGGGTACTGGCAGCATCAGCTGGCGAGCTTCCGGGTCCATCGATTCAGCAACGAGTGTGAAGGCATGCTCCCCGAAGGATGGATTGGATCAGCCTTGGTTCAGCTCTGTTCTGAAGAAGGCTGTGCAGCCTTTCAATCAGGGAGCACAAGGCCAAGGCACTGCTACCTTTGAATGGCCAGGCTGAGAGGAAAAGAGAAACCACCCACAAGGGGTGTGGGAAGAATGGGGGAGCTCTCCACACTGAATTTCCATATTCACTCCAGATTCCTACTAGTCCAAGTTATTCAGTTACCCAAACTAAAGCATGGCCATGGGCCTCTTGTTTAGGGTGACGTACCAAAGGACAACACCACCCTACCAGCTCAATGTGGAATGAGTTATCCAAAGCAGACCATGCCTCATTCTCAGCTTTGCTCTTACCAAGGTCCACTAAGGGGTTTTTTGCAAGTTTGCAGATTCATCTCCTTCATTTCCCAGCCAAGAACACAGAGAGAGGCACCATCCATCTCAACTCCAGTTACCCAAGACATTTGCTGCATGAGATGACTCCCCACTGATCAGACACAGCTTGAAAAGTCCACAGCTAGTTCTGATAAGAGGCCCTTTCCAAGTGTTCCTCCCATGTCCCTAGGACAACAGTCCATCTTTTCCATTTATCCAGAGGAGCTTAGTTCTGATACAGCACATGGAACCCAATTTCTCCTTTGGTTAGCTCAGTGCAAGCCCATGGGATTCAACCAGGCCTTCCATATCTTGTGTGTCTCATCAGATTCATAATGGAGGCAACAGGCTAAAGGGTTACAGCTGGGGTAGGAGTTATGCAGAGACATTTCTAGGAAGCCACAATTTTTCTTGGAGAAGCTGAGAAAGATGCAAGATGATCACAGGATTTTCTTTCTAAAGGCAGAGGGCCATGGGGAAGCCACAGCCTTCCTGGCTTTCTAGCATAAGACGACACAAACTCCTTTCAGAGACAACTGCAACAAACCTGTGAGTGGCAAAGACTTTGTGGCTGCTGTACTGCCCACACACACAATCATTACAGTAACTTTAGATTAGCCATCTAGATTTTATTCCTTTGTTAGCTTGGGTCATGGAATTGATCCGATGGCCCTGCTGTGAACGTGCCATTATGAGCTCTTTACAGAAGGGCACCTTGAAGTCGGCATCTGCTAAATAGAGAGCTATTTGCTGACTTCTGCTAAATAGAGTGCTATTATATGAATGGGGCCTTTGATTAATCAGAGGGTCTGTTACCTTTGATACCTTCATGCTTCCTACCAGTCTGTCCTCCTGACCTCTTCAATCTTTTGAGAAGAGGAGCAGGGAAGGAAAAGGCGGGAAGGGGAGAATGCATTGTAAAAACCTCTTCTCAAGGGGGAACCCTCTGCACTTCCCCCCCATAGCTGTTCGGATGTTTATAGGTGTGACAGATCAGACCAGCAGCACTTCAAGGCAGTTTGCCACTACAAAG